TTGTGTAATATCATGGGAATGTCACGACTGGCTGTTTTTGGAATAAGAGTGTGGCAGTAACATGGAATCAGCACCTCTGTGGTGATAAACAGCAGCCTTATCTGCCACAGTTGATCTATGTGGGACAGTAACCAGATGACATGTCGAGGCACGAACATGGTAAACTGTGGGAAGAGCTGGTTACAAACAGAAGAAGAGTGACGCGACGATGTGGGGGAGACAAAATGGCAGCTGGTTTTCACAAAGTGCACTTCAACATGAATGGATTTCAATTATTAACTGTTCAGTTTGGGCCGGTACGGTGACGTGGGGAGCAAAATGACGTTAAACAGCTTCCAAAATAAGAACACCAACAGTCTAATTCATCACACATGGTGACATTCAGCTTGTCCGTGTGTATTAAAGCTGCAGAATATAAAACCAAATCTGTGGAAAGAATGAGGCTGACACTTGGTTAGAGGTCTGGAAATCTTTGCAGTTCATGTATATTTCAATAAAAATGCATTTACTTTAAAATACACTGATACAAAAGGACTTAACCAGCTAAAACATGCAAATATTGCAACCTCTAATGATCATTTTTATAAAGAAATACCTTAATTAGTACATGTTTTCAGTGGCTTTTGGTTGCTCTTAATTTCTTTTGTATTTCATGTTTTTTTTCTTTGTTCAGTATTTTATATTTTTTGTAATTTACAAATTGAACGTACAAGTAATTATCCTGTTTTTTATTGTTTTTCCATATTTTAGATGTATTTTTTATCTATACTACTAAACTAACCGTACAAGTTGTTACCTCGCTCCATTCTTGCTTGGACACTGGATAAGTTCATCTTCCAGGATGACAATCAGCCCGATTATTAATTGTCATCGCCTCATCCTTTCAGACATTTATGTGAAATTACGTCATGAGTGGCAAATGAATTCTGAAGCTGTGGCCAAAGTTTTGGTTCATTGTTGAGTCTGAGAGGACATTTGTAGAAAGCCTGAAGGGAATTTCTTCAAATTTGTCACAGACATCACGAGTTGAGTTCTGGTCAAAAATGTGTTTTTTTCTGACATCACATGGACCATTTATTTGTTTTTATGAATCTACGCCACAACAGCAGCGAGACTTGAGAAGCCGGAACCCATAAAAACCTCTAATGTCTGCTTTTAAAAAAAAGGACTTTGAACCAAAATAGCACATTTTTATGTTCATTATAAAACTGTTAACCAAATAATGCTGCATACTGGATCCAGCAGGATGATAATTGGTCGATTCCTAATGAACCTGAGGCTGCAGTGAAGTTGTGAGATCCAAAGTGTCATAACTTCTTCCTTTTATCCTTTAAGACTTTTGTGTAAATTTTGTCATAACTGGCAAATTAATTCTTGAAAAATGTGACCAAAACAGAATCTGTTTCTTGTTGAGTCTGAATGAACATTTCAGACAAATTTGAAGAAATTCCCTTCAGGCTTTTTCAGAAATATCACAAG